AGGGTTGGAAGATACAAAAAATGGAGTCTTTTTTCTTATAAGTAATATATTCAATTTTTGGATTTAATGAGATATAGAAGTTAAAAATAGAGAATAATAACATATTTTCCCTATTTTTTATTTTGAAAAGTCTTTATGGTCCATGATCATGTAAGTGGTAAAACAGGTGCATTCTCAAAAATAGTTTTTAAATGGTTTGCTATTGAATAATAATTTTACTCTTTGTGAATAGTTGTGAAACGTCATGTAACTAATAGCATATTGGCACCAGACACTATTAAAAAAAAAGAGCTAATTCTCTAATCTACATGAAACAATAAGTGCCCGTCTTTGCCGCTGAATTACTAAAAAAAAAATTGTTGAAAATACATAAGCAGGGTAGATTTTGAAACCTAAATCGATGGAAAATTTTTGTATGTGATTTGAATATTTTTGGAAAAAATTGGTGAGTGTTTTTTGCCATAATCATTTTTTATATTTTTAAAAATTTCAAATTTTTCCAACTTTTTTAGATTATCTAGAATGTTTATTGTTGATTTTTCTTTTATTTTACTTTTATTATATTTATTTCATCTTATTTATATATATATATATATTATTTATTATTATTATTATTATTATTATTATTATTATTATTATTATTTTCTATAGAACTTTTAGCCCTATAGAGCACTCGAGCAAGTCCACGACTTGTCCAAAGGAACTCGCCTACTGTAACATACTAATCAATAATGGATAAAGTTTCTATATTGCCGAGGCTTTATAAAAACAAAATAAACCTTTATCTCAAATCCTCATCTAGAAAAGCACTTTGGGCACCAAGAATCTTCATGATGGTTCAAATATCAATTTTCAACACTGATAATAACTTTTGAAACTTAAAATGCTACAGATCATGCAGATCTTCATGATGATTTGTTGAAATATACCTTATTTTTAAAATTTGAAATCCTAATGTTTTATTGCAACCATAATGTTCAAGATGATCTATTTAAAGGTTTTTAAACACTTAAATTGCAAATTGCAACCATAATGTTCAAGATGATCTATTTAAAGGTTTTTAAACACTTAAATTGCAATTTTTAATGAGTTATAAAGTGAGGCTTTACTTATTTTAATAAGGCTGCAGCCCTATCAAACCATTCTCCATCACTAACATATTGTCAAAAAGTAACGACAAATATATATCAGCGGGTTTGTTGAGAAAGAGCATCATCCGAAAAGTTTTACCTAATGCTCAATAAATAATCTCTTAAACAAAAACACTATGACATCAATATAAAACCAGTTTTAATATAACAAGCAAATGAGCCCTCCATGCATTATAAAATTACATACTCCTTCAATTGCTTGCATTATTAGATTCCGAATCAGTGACCTTTTGTTTGAATGCATTTATTAAAATAAATCATTAATGAAATAGTGTTTAAAGAGACTGGGGTTGGGGTCGTCGTGTGGTATCACTTGAGCTTTAATTGAAGGTATCGATTCAGTATTAAAAAACTGACAATTTAAAAAAAATGGATAAAGGCTCGTACTTACCTAAAAACAAAAACAAAAAACAAATTTCATGCACGTTAGGGTTTTAGAGTAAAATTATACGTATACAGTGCTTGAGAGACGTGTGGTATATGGAACGCCACAAGGACATCGACCATCTATTTCTACAAGCAACTGTTGGGGATTCAATATAGCTTTTGATGATAAACATTTTCTTGGAGGCTGTTGATCTATAGCGTCCATCACCTAAATGGATGGCAGATGGCCCCATGATTGAAATTTTGTATGACCATAATGCCCCTGTTGTGAGAATGGGGCTGGGGTTGTGGTGGTAGTAGCACCTGTGTCCTAGGCAAAGGTCACGACCTCCATAAGGCTTTAGTTCCCTTGGAGAAGGATGCACGAGGAGCACATTGGTTATTTTTTGAAAAAACAATATGCGGGTTTAAAGGAATATGGTTTGATGGGGCTGCAGCCCTATCAAAATAAGAAAAACCTCATCTCATAACTCATTGAAAATTGCAACTCCAAGGTAAAAAAACCTTTAAATCAATAATCTCAGCTTGAACATTATGATTTGAAAAAAAAAAAAAAAAGATTTCAAATTCTAAAAATAGTGTGTACTGCAACAAATCATCTAGACATTAAAAATAAATGTTTCCATATCTGCAAGACATGTACCAGTTTTTTAGTTTCAAATTTTATTGTTGGTATTGAAACTTGACTTTAGACCCATCAAGGAGATTTTTTATGCCAAAGTGCTTTTGGGATAAGGATTTGAGGTGGGACTTTATTTTGTCTTCATAAAGCATAAGCCTCATAAAAACTTCATCTGGGTTTTCAAAGGTGCAGTTTTTATAAGTCCTAGACTTTATGAAAACAAAATAATACCTCACCTAGAACTCTCCGGGGAAAGCACTTGGGGAATTGGAAATCTCCAATATGGCTCTAAAATCAATTTCCAACAATGAATAAAAAATTGGGTGCGGTTTGTATGGAGCCGAGGCTCTAAACAATCAACGTAGAGCCCTCCTTCAAATAGTATTGAGAATGTGCTTTCAATGTTGGAGATATGTGATAGCTTTAAAAAATATTTTTATCTCTAATTATAAAATGTAAAGCTTCAAAGAGAGTGTAAATTGAGCAGATCTATGAAAACTTGAAAATATTGAAAATTGACAGTCCAAAAATGCATTACAAAATGTACTATTTTCAAAACTTGAAATCTATTTTTTTCTTATGTCCACGCATCTTGATGTCGAGATGATCAATTTGAGTATCAAAACAACCTCTTTTAATGAAATTTTTGAGGTTCCCTCTAATTTGATTGTTTAGAGCCTCGGCTCTATATGAACATTTTCCTAAAATATTTGAAGCTAAAAATAGTACAAATTTTGTGGACCCATAAATGCTTATTTTTAAAGCACTACAAAGAAAATGTTCTACTTGAAATTCTAATTTTTTTCATAACCATAATAGCGAAGGCTTAGAATTTTGGGATTGGTTGGGAGGTACCTGATTCATATCGTCCAACTCCTTCTCCGGTTATCGATTTTTCAAACACCGGCCAAGATTATCAATTTTGAAAGTTTTTCAAAACCAAAGCCGCAATTTTTTTGTTACTTTTAAAATGAAGCTTCATTTATTTTGATAAGATTACAGCCGTATCCAACCGTTCTCCTTGTGAAAAGGCACGAAAGCAAAGAATCTGAGCCGCTAATAAAAAAGAAAAGATGGGCCTTCTAATCAAATTTGAGAAGGTGACATGGAGCGGTTTGCGTTTTCAGGGAAAAAGCGGGGAATTCCGCGGACGTGCGTTCTCATGTGGTGCGGCGGCTAACTCCTTTCATTAATCATTAGTGACGAAAATACCCCCACGTTTAGTTAATGTCCAAAATGCCATTTTGTATTTTGATGACCTTAGCACCCTTGGACTTAAGGAGATCGAAAGGCCTGCTTTAGAGTATTTCAAATATCACATGGAATAGGAGTAGCAATAATAATATTTACCGTTTATGAGATTTACCAATTCCATTTACAAGTATCACATGGAATAGGGAGTAGTAATACTCATTCTCCCGATCAAATTAAAGTTAATGACAAAAATAAAATAAAGAACATGGGTAGCAATTTTTTTTTTTTTTTTTAACAAAAAGAGATCATAATAATGAGATGCGCATGTTTGTTTGGAGTTCGCCTCTCGAACTAGTAATACTCGAAGGTAGCAATAGGCCAAGCCCAACCTTGGGAAGCCCCGGTCCCCTCATGGCTGGCCCAAGTTGGGCAGGGCAAAAATAAAACAAAAAAATAATTAAAAAAAGAAAGCCAAGCCGGGTATTCCGGGCACAAACCTTACTTTTTTTAGAACCGGGCTGCCGCACCTTTGCCAGCCATAACAATGTTGTGTCACTCAACGTCCTAATACTAGGATTTTGGATAGGGGTGTATTAGTTATTTCTGGAACTTATCGGGGTGTGTAATATAACTTTCAACGGTCAAGAACCCTCATTATTATCCATTACACAAAGTATACAAAACCCTGTACTAATTTTGCCTAATTTGCCCTTTTGTTCTTGCTGTCTGGCACACAAAATGGATGGTTTTATCTCTCCTACTCATAGTGACGATTCTTTAGTAGAAAATATTATCTCTCAAGCCCATGATCTCATTGCCCTCGAGCAAATTGTCGCCATTTCATCTGCTCCTTCATTCACTCTTCCCTCTCATCTTGAATTAAGGTTTCAGAGGCTCAAATCCTTCTCAATACCATCTCCCAATCTCAAAACCCCACTTTCTCACTCTAAAATTCCCAAAAAACATCGTCCCAATTGGTCAGACCAGAAAACAAGCCCCCCAATTTCATCTTCTCCTTCAAAACCAGACGTTTCTCACTCTAGGCGCATGCCCAATGGCGTGAATCAAAGGAAGGAAGAACCCAATTCTTCTCCTGATTCAAGAACTGCGTCTTCAAACTCGAGGTCCATGAATTCACCAGCTCCGGCTAAAGCGAAGGCACCGAATCGCTTAGAAAGAGAAAGGGGAAATGGGTCTCCTTCATTGTCTTCTTTAGGAGATGAGAAGCTATCACCTTCTCTGTATTCAGAGGATTTGTCTCCTCCTCAAAGGAAGGGTTGTTGTTTCTGGATTTCTCCTAAGAAAGCGTCAGGAAAGGGTAAGAAATTGGGAAAATATGGGGGTTTTCTAGAGAGAGAGGATTTGGGGAAGAGAGAGAAAGAAGATTGGGGAAAAAATGATGAACTTTTATCTGATTTTAGCACTTTCTCTCTGAGAGAACAGCGGCGTAAGTTGAAGAAGGCCATGAAAGAGCAAGAGAAGATAAACCAGGAGTCTGAGAAAGTGGTCCAATGGGTTAAGCAGGCCAGCGCTCGTATGAATGTCTCGATCGATGACGACGACGATTTACTGAGTGATGAAGAGAAACTCAAATGATTGATTCAAGAGGTTGATCATCAATATCCAAATCATAATTTGCAGAATTGTGCAGAACTCAAGAGCTCTCTCTATACTTTTATTTTATTTTATTTTTTTGCCATATATATAGTGTAAAATAGTGGTGGCATTTCCGGCCCGGTAGGCCTGGCCCTACCAAACTAAGGCCTCAGCCATGGCTAAAAAAAGCCGGCCGATTTGGGTCGGCCCAGGCTCTATCCAAACCGTACCGCTTCCTTTTATTTTGTTAAATTTTTCCTGGCCCGGTCGTAATACGCTCCCGCCTGGACCCGTTGCCAGCACTAGGGTTACAGTTTCGTATACTTTTCCCTCTAGTTTTGCCAATGTAATAATGGAAATGTGGGTATGCTATTTAGTGATTTGTACACAGATACCATACCATTTATCAACATAAATAATTGAATAACAGATATTATAGATGGATTTCCAAGTGTAGTATATGTTCTCTAGCCCTTGCGTTTGGCATGGGGCTCTATGATTTCAAATTTTCTATGGGAAAATTACAAAAAAAAAAACCAACTTAATTTTTCTCTCTTTTTTTTTCCCACAATTTTATGAAAAAAAAAAAAGACCCAAACTACCCTTCCTTACTTTTACCTTACCCACGTCTCTCTCTACTATCCTACCAAACTAGTGCCTCTTTACTATCACACCAAACTTCTCTACTATCCCACCAAACTAGGGCCTCCGACATCATGTAAGTGCGGTCTGGCGGTAGCGCTCCCACGTCTCTCTCTACTATCCCACCAAACTAGGGGCTCCGACATCATATAAGTGCGGTCCGGCGGTAGCGCTCCAACACAATGTAAAGTTCGGTTAGGCAGTAAGGCTCCGATAATGTGTAAAGTGTGGTCCGGCAGTAGGGTTCCGACACTGAGTAAAGTACAGTCCGACAATTGCAAAAGGCGGTCTGGCAATTGCAAAAGGCGGTCTGGCAATTGCAAAAGGCGGTCTAGTAGTTGCAAAGGGTGGTCCAACACTTGTACGCTCCAGCAATGTGATGGTGCACTCTGGTTCTAAAATCAATGTCAAATCTATCCAAAATGATTTTTGTATACGGGAAAGGCATTTCATCTAAAAAATAAACTTTTTTCCTTGGGCGGGTATTTGTAGAAATACATAGAAAGTGTGGTCTTGGGGGTTTTTTGTAATTTTTCCAATTTTCAATGCTTCCTTATATTTCTGCATCTGAATTACGGTATTTCACCCTTGTATACTCAAATAAAATGTAGTGAACACCTTAATACTTGGGTACCTTCTTACATAATTATGGGGAAGACATGCCCCTACCCATTTTTTCATATAGTTTAGGAGTTTAAGTTTTTTTGGAAGGTGTTAGTGGGGGTGGTATTAGTAAACACATCGGTGGTAATTAGGGTGTTGGGGTGCTACCACCACAACTCCAGCTTCTTGCGTTAGCTTGTGAGTTGCACCACTTGTGACGAATCTGCTAGGCTACTGTCAAACCTCATTCCTGCTAGGCTAAACAGGGGGTAAGATTGTTTTTTTTTTGTTTCCTTGAGTAATAATTGTTTTTATATAAGGTTGCGACCTTGTATGTAGGTAAGGCGCATCTCTTAAATTCAATAGAAAAGAACGTTTTGAAGTTGTAAACCCTTTCAATTGATCATGTCGACCTAGAGAGATTCAGATGTAAAAAACAAAGAAAAAAGGAATTCCATGTTCTCAAAATAGTGTATTTCATGTAAAGGATATAAACTAAGGTCTGGAAAAAATAAAAGAAAGAAAATTAATATAGAAAAAAAAAAGAATAAAGAGAGACAAAGATTTACAACATCTGACAAGTTGTCTATGTTCACAGGGCAGCAAAATTTTCTTCTACTAATCAGAAAAACACCATGCAAACATGGAGAACACAAGGGATTACAAGCTCTTTCTCTCTCTATCTCTCCCTCCTCTCTCTCTCTCTCTCAAGCCCTAAAACATAGTCTTTTTCTCTCTAAAACACCCACCTAAGGACTAAAAAACTAACCGTTTTATCTTTGTTTCTACGTCTCACTTTTTCATGTGTTTTCTCTCTCTACAAGACAAACTAACCGTTTTATTTTTGTTTTTGCATCTCATTTTTTCATGTGTTTTCTCTCTCTACAAGACGTAACTTCATATAGAGAGAAACACCCATAAACTGCCTTTATCCCATTTTTTGCCATCTTACTTTTTAAGTTTTGGAAAAGGTTTCATCTCACACTGGGATTCACCGTGCCATCCAAAATTCAAATATTCAACTTCCTAAATAATAGGATTTACCTAATGGATAAATATTCCTTAAGATAAAGATACAAGGAAAGTAGGACCACACAAATCTTTTTTCCTTAAAAAATGCGCTTCGTCATCATCATTCTCCCACTAGAAGACATCTTTTTAGTCTGATTAATCTGCTTCAAAAAATTGTTGCCCACTAATTACTAATCATCAAGTAGCTACAAGCTTCAGAGGTTCTACACTAAATGAACTTCCCCTTCTTTATGAGCTTAGTCAACATATCCGTTAGATTGTCATCAGTATGAATTTTCTGTACTAAAATTTTTCCATCTTCTACTACATCACAAATAAAGTGATACCAAACATCAATCTGTTTAGTCTTGTCATGGACGCTAGATTCCTTGCTACAAACAAGGCACTCTGGTTATCACAATGACGTGGTATACCTTCTTGCACAACTTAGAATTCACCAAGTAACTTGTTTAACCAAACTGCTTCTTGAAATACATGAGTAAATAACATATACTCAACCTCTGTAGAAGACAATGCCACTACATATTGTAACCTTGATAACCAACTAACTGCACCACCTCTCAAAAAAAAATACATACCCGGTAGTAGACCTTTTTTTATCCAAGTCATCTGCAAAATCTACGTCAACATAAACAATGACTTTCAAATCTATTGCATTGTAATAAATACCAGCATTGTAAGTTCCTTTCAAATACTGAAGGATCCATGTCATAACGATCTAATGATCAAGGTCAGGATTTGTCATATATCTGCTCACAACTCTCATTGCTTGTGCTATGTCAGGTCTAGTGCTAACACTAACAAATATGAGGCTCCCTATTGCTGATGAATATGGTACTCGAGACAATTGTGTCTTCTCTACTTCGGTGCTAAGAGACATTGTTTCAAAGACAACTTCATATGCACAAGAAATGGGGAACTAACTGGTTTAGTATTATTCATATTGAAGCGTCGCAGAACCCTCTCCACATAACTCTTCCAAGTCAACCAGATTTTCATGTACTTCCTATCTCTAAGTACACGTCTCGAAAATTCGATTAACGGCTCCCAAATCTTTCATCTCAAATTCCTTGGCCAACTGAGTTTTAAATGTTGTAATATTCTTTTTGTTTGGTCTTACAACAATCATGTCATCGACATATATATAATAACAAGATAATAAAACTTTCATCACCATATTCATAGAAACATGCACAGTGGTCAGCTTTACCTCTATGAAAATTCAAGCTCAATATAAAAAAGTCAAATCGTTTGTACCAACACCTTGGTGTCTGTTTCAACCCATACAACGATTTCTTGAGCCTACAAACCAAATTCTCTTTCCTTTTCTCAACAAAATCATCAGGTTGGATCACATAAATTTCTTATTTTAAGTCACCATGCAAAAATGCAGTTTTTATATTTAATTGTTCCAACTAACAATAACCATAGCCAAAACAACTCTAATAGTGGACAAATGCATAACAGAATGAAAAATCTCATCAAAATCAATATCTAATTTTTTAGCATAACCTTTCACAACTAATCAAATTATGTACCTTTCAATGCTATCATCAGGACCTTTCTTATTCTTGAAGACCCACCTGCAACCATCTCTTCTTCCATGGATGCTCTCCATTGGCCAACTTCATCGACTTCACATGCCTCACGAAAAGAAATTGGTTCACCCTCCTCTATTTGGCAAGTATAAGACAAGACATAGTCGTTGAGCCTCACATGAGCCTTTGTAGGCATATTAGATCTTCTTAATTCAAAACCAAAATATTTTTCAAGCTTTTGACATTTCAAGTTCTTGGTCCTGACTACTATCTCGTTGATTCTCATGTGTGCATTCCACCTCAATAGTTTTTGCATCTGGCTCATCTTTCTTTTTCTGCATAAAAATTTCATTAAAAATAACTTCTCGGCTAACTATAACCTTGTTGTCTATAGGATCCCACAATCTGTGTACCCCTTTGTACCATCAACATGGCCAAAAAAAACATACTTCTTGGATTTATCATCCAACTTAATTCTTTTCTCCTTTAGAATCAAAGAATATGCATCAAAGCCAAAAACACAAAAGAAAGAATAACCAATTGGTTTATCTATCCAAGCCTCTTCTAGTGTCTTGTAATCAATAGAAGAACTGGGAGATGTATTAATTAGGAAACAAGTTGTACGAACTACTTTTACCCAGAAACACTGTTTTAACTCGACAACACTCAACTTACAACTAACATGTTCCGTAATGGTACGATTCATCCTCTCAGTAACATCATTTTGCTAAGGTGTTCCAAGAACTGTTAACTGCCTAACAATATCATGCTCACTATAAAAATTATTAAATTCACTAGAATAAAATTCTCCCCCATTATCAGTTCTTAGATAGTTGGTGCTTTTACTTTTCTGATTTATACCAAGGTTTTAAAATTTTGGAAACAATTGAAGGCATTTGATTTCTTTTTCAGCATATAAACCCACACCTTTTTTGAAAAATTATCGATAGAAGTAACAAATATGCATCACCTCCCATAGAAACATGTGATTTTCATGTATCCGAATGAATCAATTTCAAAACATCCTTACTTTTAATGGTAGAGAAAACAAAGTGAAATTTACTTTTAGTGGTGGATAAACCAAGAATATTAACTATTGGACACTGTTTCTATGAGTCCATGTAGACATAAGTCACCTATTAAAAATTTATTTTTGAGATAGATTTTTTTACCTAATTTTTAAGGACATGTAATCTCTAACATGGAGATCATGAATATGAATAAATAAATAAATTTTAAAAATATTTCTATTAAGAAAACATTTGGACCGTTAGTTTCAATTATTGTTAAATGGTTAGTTTCAATTATTGTTAAATGGGCCACTTATTTGCATCCATCTTTAAGAAGGATGCTTTAACCTCAGGGACCGCTAATGTAAAAATGCAGTCCCCACCATATGAAACAATTTTCCGTAACTATTCGGCATTGGGTATGGTTTCTATAAGGTTGCAACTTCAAACAATCCAATTAAGGCACAACTCTAAATTTTATCATAACATGCATTTTTGATGTAAAATTTTTTTAGGATTATTTGAAAATCTATTTTCATATCTCATTATAAAATTTTAAATTCCAAAAATGGTTAAAATCAAGTAGATCCTATAAACATATGAAAATCTTGAAAATTAACAGTCTAGTTAATGTGTTGCAAGATGCACTATTTCTTTTTTTATTTTTTTTTAAATTCATACATCTCAATGTCGAGATGATCAATTAGAGATCCTTTCAACATTAAAACAACTTTTTCCAATGGATTTTTGAGGTGCATTTTTAATTCTACATTTTAAAGTTGCAACCTTATATAAACTTTTTCCTTTAGCATTCATTTTACTTGTCTTTTAATTTTATTTCAAAATGCCCATCAAAATACACATTATTTTGACTTGGTAGGAAAAAGATGAAATGCTACATAATCGAAAATTAAAGCGCATTGCTATAATATACAGCTGAACCGCAAAGGAAAATCGTTTCATGCCGGCTGAACCATATTTTTACAATATGTGGTCCCCAGGTATAAAACATCCATCTTAAAGATGGATGCAAATAGGTAATCCATCTAAAAACAATTGAAACTAACTATCCACATGTTTTTTTTATTAGAATTATTATTTTAAATTTTTAAAATTTATTTATTTATTCATGATCTCCATGTTAAAGATTACATGTCCTTAAAAACTAGGTCCAAAAACTCAATCTCAAAAATAGATTTTTAAGAGGTGACTCATTTCTGCATGGACACAGAGATACTGTACGCTATAAATTTCCCTATAGAAAATTTAGTGTAGCTATTGTATACTCTTTTTGTACAAAATGCTACAAGTGCAAAAAATGTGGATTATGGTATATTCAATCTGGGTGGCTAGTCCACATAACATGAAGTCTTGAGTTTCCATCCGGCAATGTTCCAATTAGTAATCGAGATAACATTTGAAAGAAAAAACCAAAAAAAAGGGCGAGGCACATAAACCAGACAGCATAAAATTTTACTCAAATCATTTCCTCTTTCAAGTGAAATTGGGTATAAATCAGGTACCATACATTGACACTTCTCATGAACATTCCTTCAGCCAAAGACGCGCGTTACAAGCATAATCAATACATCTAACATGTCAGTGACATTATCTAAGGACTTACCACTATTCAAAGACATTCGCAAGGAATTACCCAGCCGGCGTTCGTCGCAGAAAAGTGAAGCCGCACACCTTCCACCAAAATGAAGATACGCCTCCATATTTTGGATATCAGTAATCCATCTTGTGCAAACTCAATTAATTCTATTTTACATTATGCATAAGAAGCCATGTTCTAGCCATTAAGGAGTTTGAATCAGGAACCTGAAACTAACTTCTTCAGAGATGTGAAGGGAGAATTGTATCCATAGGCTTTGGTATCTCTCCAAAGAGCCATTCCTGTGGAAACCAAAACGTAAAGGGAAACAAGGCTCGAAGATTTTACTTCCAGTCCCAATAATCAAAGGATCCAAATGCTCAGTGTTATTAAAAGTAACTAAGAGACTCTGAGAGTGTACTATATATGAGCAGTGTATGGTACGTGGTATACGATTATTGCATCCGCTGTCCATTCTCTGTGATGGACAGTGGAGTTGAATGCAACAGAACAAATGTCCATCATTCCATACACAGGCTATGCATGGTACATTTTTGTAAAGTATAATATGACATGACTTGTAGCTCACAAGTGATGCCTAATTTGGTATTAGAAGAGCATACCTAGCCATGAAACGAGGGCAATTGTTGCTGCCAAGAAGAAGGTCCAGCTGATGGTGTTACACCTGTGTTCACCACTGAGCATGAGAACTTGGGAATAGAATCTGTGTGTGTTTGAGAGAGAGAGAGAGAGAAAAGCTAAATAAAAATTGACAAAAGGTTGAGTAGACAGAAGATTCTACCAGTACATGCATATCAAATTTCCCCAGCCATGGAGCAAAGATGCCCAAAAAGAACCAGTAAACCTAGAATGAACCAAAGGAATCGTTACAAAATCTCATTATAAGAATATTTAAAAGAGGGGATGGGGGAAAGAGAGTCACATAAACCAAAGTAGTTCAAGGTGTCTTATAGTTTCATTCTCTCTTTATATGAGGCAAATACCTAATATTTAATCATATATTGACATGTAGGAAAGTCAATTTTCTCTCTAACTTGTTTGTTGGCTTTGCTCTATATTGCTTGCCACTTATTTACTTATTTTTGAGTAAATATCCTTAAATGTCACTTTTCCTTGTTTTCCGATTTAATCCATGCATCACATGAGGCACCATGAATACAGGAGCAAGAACAGAGAATGATAAAAAAAAATCATGAACCAAAATCAATATATTACCACATGAAATCACGAATGAAGAGGGCACGAGGGATCATCAGACCATTGCCAATCATAGCAAGCAACATGGTGAAAGCCGATAAGCCTCTTATGTTATCCGGATTGAGGAAATTTGTCCACTGTTAAAAACACACAAATTCATGTTGTTAGTAACCATAGGCTGGTAATCTCAAAAGGTTAGGCACTTCTTAGAATTTTCATTAAGCATAATGTACTATCTATGTACTTGCATGAATGTGAGCACACTGCATTTGGTGCAGTGCTCTAGTTGGACCAAATGATAAAAATGATGTCATCTGAAAATGACAAAATCATAAAACATGGCATCTTCTGTACAAAATATTTTTGTGAAGGATAGTCTTTACCCTTCATGAACTCATACATGCATGCACCGACCATAAAGAGAGGGGGAAGGGAGGCGACGGTTGTTTGTAAGTGCATACCATCTGCGCTATAGGCATCCACATGAACAGTAGAGTCGCAGTCCATCCAGATATAGACCCGACGAACTTGGTGGCTTTCTTTGTAAGTTTTCCAGTGCGTGCCTGCAAGACTTACTGCACAACTAATAAGCACCCAAATGGCTGCCGGATAAAGTAGAGATGTTGAGAGAGGAAAATGAGAAGAGCAAGCATTGCTTTGACAACCCAACCAGAGAGATCCAGTAGTTAGCAGTTGGTTTACGAGACATACAGTCTCGAGGCAGCCAGAATACACCTAATGATTTTTCTAAACGGACCAACTACCTTTTACCTTCATAAACTGAACCAAGTGATTTTGTTCTTCGTGCAAGGTAAATAATTCTATTTTTTAATTGATATGTATAATAAAAGGTAAATTAATTAAATTACTCATCATAGTCTAATTATTTACTGAAGACCACATTTCAGAGACAAAAAAGGCATAACTCACGTAACCTAAGACACCAAGAAAGCACTTTTAAGGTTAAAAATGATTATTTTATCCACTGACAAAGCAATAAAATAGAACCGTACCATGGTTCTTTCTTGTTGAGCTTACTTTTGTATGCATAGACTTTAGGCAAGCCCATCAGCACATATGACATGCATGTTACTCCCATGTGTGGATATGCCTAGAACTGGGACATGCATCCTTGTCCTCTAAGAATACATGTAAAATCATCTTACTATCAAAACTATAGTGCTTATCTGGCATCTATTTTTCTATGCCACTACCGAAACTCATTCCTTCTTTGCTCGAGTCTGTAGAAATGAAAGACCAAAAACCGCGCTGCAGGATACTTAAGTGTCTAAAGATAGCAGTATGTGTTTAGACAAGTAAAAACAACATATTCTTTCAACTCATTGATATAACACGTAAGCCAGCACATAATTTATAACCACAGCTAATCCTGGTAAAACAAAAAAAGTAGTCTTATAGAAGCATCGATCATTAAAAATTCTGTAACATAAAAACGTATTTTACCCAAAAAGCACATAAGGCAACCAGAAAAGCATATATAGAAATATATACATACCATGAAGACAACAAAAAGTGCCACAGTGAAGGCCATGGCCCCAGGTACAGCAGTATTTGGCAGGAATGGGATAAATGTCGCCCACATAACCTGTAATATTGTTGAAGAATGTCCCCAAAACAAAGGAAATAAATGACCGAAAGTAACCACCAGAAAACTACACAAGTTTATCCGGCCTTAATTGAATCCAAGAGCACACGAAAGAAATCCAAAAGGTTGCCGCACCTGAGGAAGAACTGAGAGGCCTCCAACAGTCATGAAATCCTCCCATAGTGTCCAAATCCTAGAATTTAGAAGATTAAAGAAATTCATGAAATTAAGTATCAGACCAGAAGCCACAACAATTGAAGTCACAGTAAACTGAAGCAAAGGCATTGCTTCTGCCATAGCAAGCTGAGCGAGAACGATATAAGTCGATATAACACCCAAAGTCTGAACTACAACAGCTTCTGTTTCCTTCTTTTTTGCGAAATAAGAAAGCAAGGAGAGATTTCCCAATAATCCAGTTAACATACCCTGTATTAAGAAACCTCAGTTATTCAAGGTACCATGATTGCTCAGTGAGTTTAAATTATGAGTTTTTAAGCATTCATGAAATCGAGAGAACTGCGGTATAATAAATACTTAAAACCAGAAAAGAAGTCCAGTAAATCCACATAAAAAAGGCATAAAGCATATCCAGATATTGAGAGAAACAATGTGTCTCTAAATATTTCAGAAAGCCAGAAAATGGGTGAGTGCCTCAAATTTCCTGGAGAATCAATACTTGCAAAATTTAATGCTCATAAAATAGTCAGATGATTCAATTACAGTGAAAAAAGTAAAGAAGAGAAACAGTTTAGCATGTTATAATAGCCATCAAAGTTCAAGAAAAAAAAAGCAAAGAATTTGATCCATTTAAGAATAACAAAAATCACAGGGCAAAATCAAAGATTATGACATTACAAAAAGCTCCGAGTGATTACTCAAATATTCATGCTACAAATAATAACAAGCTATACCTGAAAGTATCATATTTGTGGACAAATCAGCAAATTACAAAAGATTCCTCAGTAGGATAACCCAAAAAAAAAAAACCGCATGAACTGCTCAACATAAGCAATCACTATTAAGCAAGACAACAGAAGCCACATGAAACAAGAAAGCTATAAGCAGAAAGCACAAAACAGACACTTTAAATTCCCTAATTCCACAAATAATCGTAAATCAGAAACTGCATAGAGCTCAGGGTTTGAAAGTTTCTACCCCACAAAAAAATGCCGAAAAAAGAGGCCCAAATTTTAAGGTTCAACTAAACTGAAATAGCAGAAATGCGTCTCAAACTACAGAGAACTTCTTTCCATCCCCATTCCAGTCCAATAATGAAGTTCTATGAATAAGTTACAACCACAAAAGAGAGACACCAGTCCCAAACAATATCGAAGAAAAATGGGTACAAACAAACACAGTCTTTACCTTTTTTATTTTTATAGCTACATTTGGTTTAATCCATGCTTTTCCAACCAATTAAAGAAGAAAAAGGTCGTGTGTACTCACAATCCATGGAACTGCAAAAAGTGCAGTCTTGTTTCCAGCTAAGAGGTTCTGAGCGTTTAAGATGATTTGGGGGAGTTGAAGCAGCAAAAATGGGACATTTGCTGCTCCAGCAAAAGTTGCAGTCAATGAATCCCATTGTTTATAAGCAGGTTTCTCATGGAATTTTCCAGCAACACTCACTTCTTTTCCAACCGCCTATTACAAAAATTAAGAGAAAAACAAAAGCATTAGTACCCCATTTTATCTCCTAAAAAGAAAATTTATATTCCTCGTGCATTGCCCTCACACACACACACAGAGGCCAACATTCCTACCTCCTTTTTTCTCATGCCCAAGCATGTTTAGAAAGAGCAAAAACTGATTCATTTCTACACATGGATAATAATAAATAAACCATCATTTATATAAATATTTACCCTTTCTCTCAAAACAGAATCCACCACTGAAATGAATTCATATTCAACCAACTAAGTAAAATAAAATATAAGAAAATTATGGTGAGCACAAATACCACCCAACTTTCTCATCCACTGCAGAAAAAACAAATGAGAAAATAAAGCAGAAATGACCAAATTCATCTTCTACAAACCACAGGAACAAAAATAAGTCTTACAAACAAAGACACCATAAACCACATTTTCTTCAAAAAAAAAAATTGCAGAATTGAAAATAGGTAAATAATAATAATAATAATAATAACAGCAAACTAGAAAAACAAAAGCAAAGTTCATCTCTATCATTTCAAATACGGTGAATAACAAGTACACATTAAAATTAAAAATTATGCTTTCACACAAGTTTCCGTCGATTAAACCAAAGAAAAATAAAAGAATTCCATCCCATTCACAACTAAAACAATACAACAATAGAGCAAAACATCGAAATAAATAAATAATCTGAGTTTCTCAGATTTATCATCTCAACCAAACAAAAATTCGTAACCTGGTTTTCAGGAACAGAAAGGTCTTGGTTAGCTGCATAATTAATCCTGAATCTCAGGAAACGAGGATTCAACTTCAAAAATTGCAGAGATTTAGGATTAAGGTTTTGAAGAGGCAAATTTAAAGGCGAGAACTTTTGTCGAATCCTGGAATTTAAGGGTAAAACTTGGGGGTTCGAGGAAGAGGGAGAATGCAAAATAGCTCTACTGCACAAGGGAGAGTAGACCGCCATTACGGTACCCTACCTAAGAGACCCACCACCATTTGATTTTTTTCAAACTTTAGGGTAATAAAGAGGAAGTAAAGATAAACCTACCCTTAACAATTAATAAAAGACAAACTCAGCCCTAATCTCTTTTGGCTCGGAACAAAGGAGAAAGGCTATTTGTTTTTTTGCTTTTTCCAGCCAAATTCCAATTTGTGCGGTGTTTAAATATTGGGAAAGTATGCGAGACTATTTAGCTTTGTTATAAGGTCGTCACGGTTAATATTGTCTATTGGATGTGAAATTGGACAGCTGACGAAACTTAAACTGTCAAGAATTTACTTGAACTTTGCGATATACCCAAGCTGTCAAAATTTATATCGGATGGTTGTAAGTAATTGTGACTTTTCTGTATCAAAGGTAAATAGTCTCATTGTATACAATTCCTTAAAAAATTCCCTCGAGTAGAGATGGCAACGAGTCGGGTATGGGTTGGACCTGGACCCAAACCCGAATAGTATTCAAGTCTAAAATTTAGACTTATACTCGGACTCATCGGGTATCGGATCTACCCGTCAAGTCCCAGGTCCGGTCGAATCCATTGCCACTACATAACTATGAACATTTTTTTTTCTTTTTCCTTTTTTTACCATCATATACCTTATGATTATAAGTTTCTTTTTTTTTTTGTCAATTATACTATAAATGATGCCAATATTGTGACAATATGAACGCCTAGCGTACACCTAATAACACATGATTCTCATTTTATACCCTATTACTACATCTACGGGTCAGGTCCATCTGGACCCAGACTCGAATAGTATTTGGGTCCAAAATTTGGACCATACCCGGATCCAAGGTCGGGTCTATTGCCACCCCTTACCCTTAGGAATTTAGGGAATGTGCGATTCAAAAATTTAAATTCACTTCCAATTACAATTCACCTTTTAAATTAAATTTTCTACAAAAAAAAAATCAACCGTTTTGTCTACCAACCAGAGAACACATACCACCACCACCGTCGTTACCATTGCCAACACCACGAATGCCTGGTCCACCACCCAAATTAGTATCGTTTCAAAAAGCACCGCCAATGCCGCCTAGCCGCCATTACCACCACCGCCGCCTTGCAACTATCACTCCACCATTGCCATTGCCCAGCCACTACCCACCGCACTACATCCACCACAGCCTCCACCACCACTACTAATGTCCCAGGGCCACCACCTCCTAGCCATTGCCGCCACTGCTGCCATTGCCTAGCTACCACCACCACTGCCCACCCTCCACCACCACCTCCACCTCCACCTCCACCTCCACTATCACTACCTCAACTGTCACACAGTACCACCATCATCACGCCACATGATAACAATTTATAACTCAAATTGTAGCAATCAAACACCTATACAGAGGAAATGACAATTAACCAAATTGGCATTTGGTGAAAAAAAAAACACTATTCGATAGGGTTTGGCAATCAAATCGTCCCGAAGGGACCCACGAAATTTGGATCCCCAATATATCTACAATACAGATTATGACGGTGGATGCACAAGAATTAAGTGTGTTCAAGCAAGCATCTAAATTTTACCTTAGAGTTAATTTAAGCAAAACGTTTATGCAAATCATCAACCTTATATTGTAAAAATAAGGTATGCCTCAAAAATTTAGTGGAAAAGGTTATTGGGACATTGGAAGAACCTCCAATAATGATCCCGACTACATGATTTACAAATATGAAAAAAAGGATTCCAAATCTAAAAAATAGTGTATCTTGCAATACGTTATCGAGACGATTTATTTTCAAGATTTTCAATTTTTATAAATATGCTTAGTTTGTACCATTTTTTAATCTTTAAGTTCCATAATTAGGGGTGAAATAAATTTTTCCACCATTGCAATAGGTTTTTTATACCGAAATTGCATCTTCTAGAGGGATTTAAAAGTGCACCTTGCTTTGATTATTTCATGTCGACACCATATATAAATTGCACCCTTGCACTATAGGTTCACTCATCAAAACATTTCTAATTGAATATAACACTTGTTGAAGGTTTGACCATTGAGATAATGAATTTGAAAAAACAATATAAAAAACTAAGTCTTAAGACTTGTTCCATATTGTACTTATATTTTGGCTGTTTGTTTCAATTCTTCAAAAATAATGAAATCTATATTATTTTTTGAGTTCTAAATTTATGGATATTAGACATAAATAGATATTAAAAGTTATAGTCCATTTATATTAACACACGATAATCCTGACTACCACAATCAGAAAACTAAAATGGAATTTAAACCTTAAAATAAAGGGTTAAAAAATAAATTTTGACATTATTTATTTTTAATATTGAAAATTTATTTTTCATATCCATGATCATCATATTATTGACCACTTAACTTTTATATACAATTTTATATATAAATTTTGGGAAGATCAAACTTGAATAAGGTTCATTTGTTGCATTTTGGAAAAACGGCATTTCGAATTGAGAATCGCTAATCTGAATAAAAAATCAACAACCATGTTCCTTAATAAAACTAAGAATCCATTTCTTTGTTAAGTATACTCGCGTAATTTTGTCAGAGAACTAGGTGAGTCTCTTAAGGAGTCAGACGATATGGATCAGTTGAATTGCCCGACTTGATGATCCAGACCCGGCAACGGGAAGAATTCAAGACACTGGGTCTAGAGGATGCCAAACCCGGATTTGCATCCATTTAAGATGTATATGTAACTTAAAAACTTTTGAAAACCACAACAAAAAACGTAAGATCCGAGGTTAATAGATCTAGAAAAAGCCTTTGGCTAGAAGTTAAGGGTAGTTTGTCCTTTTGGAAAACTCCAAGGACACAATATGGTTTTGGTATCCCGCGATCACTAAAATACCAGTAACATCTTTCCACGTGGTGGTTTGAGCGCGTGGTTCTTGATCGTTGTGCGCCTTCGCGCTCCCACGTGGCATATAAATTAAAATGTCAGATTTCCGCTGAAATTGATCTCCTAATTTTTTTTTTTACACTGGTAAAAAGGGAAGCACTTTTGGAAGGATCCGATTTCCATGCGGCCAAGGCCACATATGTAGAAATACGGGTCTCTTAATAAATCTATTTTTAAGATGGATTAAGATGGATTTTTGGACTTAATTTTTAAGGATACATAATCTATAACATGTAGATTATGAATACGAATAAATAAATAAATTTTAAAAAATAGAAGTAATAATTATAGTAAAAAAGCATTTCAACCGTTAGTTTTTATTGTTTTAGATGGAGCACCTAGCATTTATCTTTAATAAGGATGTTTTACACTTTTTGAACCGCATATTTAAAAATACAGACCGATATGCATAAAATAATTTTCCATTTTAAAAATGGGATTGAGGTAGTGGTGGTAGCACAACTTGAGCCTTAATTATCGCTTTAAATTTCCATTCCCACTAACACGTTAAAAACAAGTAATTATTTCTAAAAACGGTATAGGCTGTATTCCCATTGATCCACCAAAAAAACATAACCAAACTTGTTAGAAAAGCTCGAAAACAGTTTATTATTCCATTGATCTACCAAAAAAAATAACACAAAGGTTGAGTCATGTCTCCAAAAGAAGGAGATGCCGTAATCCTTCGTGACCAAATTATGGAGTTGTCCGTACGATGAAATGACTAAAAAGACATGCTTGGCCTTGGTATATTATACCCAAAAAAAAATTTCTCGTAGAATCTCAGTGTACTACAATTGTTCTTTGGCTTCAAGTCAACCGTTGATCCTACTTGATTGCCAATCTCGTTTGTTATTTATGAGCTTAAATCATCATCTGAGCCTTAAATTATCATCATCCGAGCTTTATCTCAATTATTTAGATAGACTATATGAATCATATTTGTCTATTTGTTTTTCTAGGGCCGTACCCCCGAATAGCACCTTCTAACCAATGTGATATATAAAATGTTAAATTATTGATCTCTTAAGTGATGTTTGATAAATTTCTCGAAAAAAATAAATGGCAAAATAACATAAATAAATAATCAAAAAATACTCAATAAAAAACTCGAGAGTATACCTTCTTGCCTACTCCACCATTGAGGATGAAGATCTCCATATTCCATCAAACCTCTTCCATCTAACAAAGAAAACGAACTTTAAATATGAAACATTCATATTTTATCAAATACTAAAGCAATCCAAAGGAATCAAATTACGTCATAAAAAATTATAGTACAACCCGCAAAAATAAAAATAAAACTAATACCAAAAAAACAAAAAACTAATAAATTTGTTTGAGATAGCTATAAGAATAAAAAAATAAAAAATCTATAATACTAATAGATAAATAAATAAATAAAATAACAAACCATTAAAGATGTATATGAGTTTGGATATAGATAAACGGAGACAAAAATATAGAGAGGCTTAAGAGAAAGAGAGAGAGTGATTGCCCTGTACATTTTCCTCTTCCCCATCTTATTATACTTTACCCCCTCTTCCCCTTTTTCATTGCCCTCTATGTAGTGTTTTATTATTTATTATTGTTTTGTTATTTTTTTTTTAACTCTACTCTAAATTTTTTTTAGAGCTTTCTTTGTATATTTATCTATTTTTATAAATTGTTTTATTTATTTTCATATTGTACAAGCACTCATACTTAATTTATTGTGCTTGCACAATATGAAAATAAATAAAATTGTACAATATGAAAATAGGTAAAAAAATTTATGAGAATAGACAAATAAATAGAGAAAGTTCTAAATAACTCTAGAGCATAATTAAATTTATTTTGCTTGCACAATATGAAAATATTTAGTTTAAAATTTTTAAATTACCTAAAAAAATTCTTTATTCTATAATATTTTGTAACTAATCAAATCCTATTGCTAAAAATTTAAAAATATGTATTTTCAAATTTTCCCTATAAATTTGGTTTCTTCATGTTGGAAACTCTCTCGTCACGATATTAATTTTTTTAATAATAGGTAAGTTGTAGTGAGAAGAGAGAACTATCTCTATTGAAAGATATATTTTTATCGTTAACAAATGTTATTCTCCCTCTT